TTTAAAGCTTTCTGTTTACTTTCTTGTACTTTTGCAAAACTTTAAAAATTTCCCATTAAATCTACAAGAAAACATTTGAAAAAAATTAACCATAAAACACAAAGAAATTTAAAATCCAATTATGGTTGATCCTCATGTAGGTATTCTATCATATGAAGTTATCCAATTTTATAATGTTGTTTAAGGAATAAGGTTTACTCCTTGCCATTTTATAACTTTGTGGAAGATGAATAGATATATTGTAACTGATTCATTTTTAATCAAGTAATTGTTTGGTAAATCAAGTAAAACTCAACATTCATTTAATACAGGCATCTATCAAAGGTCCTGTAACAGTTTCTCTGTAGCCTTCCTGAATTTAGTTACATGTGTTAAATATACAGCAATACAATAAATGTTATATTTTAACAAAGTGTTAAAACAGAGAATAAGAGACAATTGGCAATATGGATTAAACTTATTCATATTTAAGGATTCAGTTTAACTAGAATCTTTCAGGAGTCAGACCACTGTGTTAATAATACGCCTATCAAAACTACAGCTCATAGGATGGTTGTTTCAATGACAATCAATGACATTATCCATTATTTTAGCCACATAACAAAGAAAGCCCAGATTTAAGCTTCTTAGTTAACATGTGAAGGGCGTAAGAGAGAACATTAGTTGAAGATTGTGTTAATTCTGGGATGCTATGTCTAAATTGGACCACGAGCCTTTCATGACAGTAACACTCCCAATCAAAACAAGCAAGCTGCATTCTTAGCTTCATCATCTATATTTTGGTTAGGTTGCCTTTTACCAAGTTTAGAATCGATTTATTCTTCACAGCATTCTACGTTTTCTCCACAATTCATCTCCGCGAAAATGAACGATTACAGGTAAGTGGAAGCAACTTCAAGTAAACACACTGGCTTTTTGACTTGAAGATATTTTATTCAAATGTTGTTATTTTAGAACAATAAAGCAGCCTTTAACATTAAGCTACTCAAAATACATTACAAAACATTAACATAATGTACTGGGTCATTTTTCCCTCTTTCAGGCACTTTCAAAAGGCATTTTCAGACCCACAGAATCTCCTCTTCCGGTGTGCAAATGAACAAAACTGCCAAGTGAAGCAATAATGCATAGTGCTAACTGGTATTCTGCAGGGTTACACAAGCATATTTGTTTTTTTGCATTCTCGTTTAACATTCAAGTAATTATTCAACATACGACCCTGACGTTTTCTGTGGTTTTTGCAAATTGTTAAAATTATTTCTATTGCACACGTATATTTTTGGGGGGGGTGACAGAAAGACAGGTCACATCGCAGGTCTAGTTTTGCCCTCAAATGCTCAGAAAGAGTTCTCTCTACAACAGACTGCGTGGCCCTTGAACAAAACAGTCTCCAGCACTGTCATCGGTACCTAACGGGCTTTTTTTTTTTTTTTT